CTGATTAAAAAAGAGCAGATCCCAGGCAGAAAAATGCAGGTCATGCAACCAAGTGCAGCGATATATGTGTCACTGAATCATAGCACTTCCTAATACTTCTGATCTTCTTTCCCCTAGATATCAAATCCAGAGTGAAGACCACATCAGTAATTCCAATATTCAGGTTTTGCACATTTATGGTCAGCAAAATCACCGTGTAAAACAAAGCTGTGAAGCTGATTATGTTATTCAATAACTTCACAAAAACAGTATTGCCAAGGCTGATGGAGTGGGAGGACCCAAAACTTTATAAATATGTTAAAGGAGCCCAGCCCAGATGCAACTGCCTGTCTTGGGCTCACATCATTTTTAGGATGAACCTGACATCTCCTTTGCACCACTACAGCTGGAGGCAGTTAGGTGGGAGGCTTTGTATTAATCCAGTGCAAGACTATTTGTTTAATTCTAAAGAGACATCATCCTTAACTAAACTGATAGGTCTCTTGCAGAGCTAGAAGGCAATGTAGAAAGACCTGAGACACCCACCCACACATCTTGACGTGTCCCAGTTAGGCAGGACCATGCTTCAGGTTTTTTTGTTATTCTTTTGCCCCTTGCTCAGCATATTTCAGCTGACCCTGTGAGGGAGCAAAAATAGCAGTGTGGCTGAGAGGGCGGAACATCACAGCTTGCAAACAGGAATAGGAAGGCAAGAAAAGGAGCCATTGTGATAGATGCATCCACTTGGGATTTTTTTAGCTACCCTCACCTCACAGCACATGAGAGACACTCATCATAGTGAGACCCTGATCTTCCCTTCCCAGAGATCCTGTGCCAGGGCATGGCATGCCCTGGGCACACTCTTCCCCCAGGTTCTTCTTTCATCGTTTACCCCCATATTCAGCTTTGCCTTAAACAACCATGAATCCAACCAGGAGAGGCTTGCTTGAATCACCTCTACACTGATGCTGTGAAAGGAGTGCTCTGCAAGTCAGCAGAGCTATTCTGCAAGGGTGAGGATTAGAGCAGGATCTGAGCTATCCCAAGGAACAGTCCTCCAAGCGGGAAAACCCAAAAAAAAAATGAAATAATAATAAAAAACCCTCCACAAAACAAACCACCACCAAAGCTCAGCTCTACTGTTGTGCTGTCTCCTGGCTGCTTTCTCCAAGCTGCAAGCTCCAAGGAGGAATTGCATTTGGACTTTACACATGTACAGTCAGCATGGAGAGAGGCTGGGAAGGATTCTTGTATATCCCTTCTCTCAAATACTCTCCTGTATGATCCAACTGCAACCTGCACATCTGCAGCTGTCAGAGTCATCTCTCTGTGCTCGGTAATCTGAGGCTCTGCAAGCCAGCAGTAGCTGCTCGCCTCGCCTGCCTTCCTAAGGCAACACTTGCTCAGCAAACACAAATATGTTTACTGTGGAAACTTTGTACTTGCCTTACTGCCCCCGCTCTTTGCCAGGTGTTTTTCTTTTTATACCCACAGGAGATGCAGAGCCATGTTCTAATATAGCAATATAGGTTCATGCGCATGTGTTTATTAATAAACGGGGGGGGCAAATCTATTTACTTACTGCCTCATTTGAGTGATTTATTTAGTTATTTTTAGACTTGTTAGACATACAGACTCAAAGCAGCAACATCAAGGGCTGGCTATTGGAATATACTGAAGCTACTTTCAGGGACTTATTTTTCCAGAGAGAGAAAAGAAAAAAATTTAAAAATTATATGTAACTATAAGGGCACCCAGCACCAATCAACCTTTTTTTCCTTTCACCAATTTTGAGCTGGTGTCATTATTGTCTTTCCTGATGGTGCCCTGGGGGTAAGGTGGCAATAAATTCAGTGCCCAGGTAGACCAGGACCCCCTCTAAGGGCTGCAGTAAGGAATCATACCTAAGCATCCTGATAGCATTGCTTGGAGCAGCATCTTTTTGTACTATCTATGGGAATATATACACACACATGTATAAAAAAAGGAGCTTGAGATTCTGCATTCATACCCCCAGTGTCAGGGGAGATCAGAAGCAGACTGTGTAGCCCATGAGTAAGGCACACTGTGCAGAGGGGAATGAGAAGTTGATGCCGATGTAAAACAGGAGGCTACAGCCTCTGGTATCTGGTGTCTACCCTTCTTACCCCACAAGAAATCTGAGAGATGCTGAGCATTCAACCTAAAGCAACCCTTAGCCCGCTGTGATCCAGCTCCTTAGAGATTCTCCCAGTCAAAAATCACCTTAAAAAACCACTAGTGTCATTTGCAAGCCAAAAAATATAAAATGCAAAAACCTCCTTCCCTGGGGGACTGCTTTTACTTCCTGAGGATGCAGTCCTACCCAGATCCACGAGAATCCACCGCAAGGAGGGGGCCTAACACAGCACAGCCAGATAAGGGGCGGCTGACGAGATGCACCACAAAGCAAGAGCTCCTAAATGGTTATGGGTCAGCCAAAACCCCAAAGGAGTTTGTTCTAGCAAGACCATTCTTGCTTGTCCCTGGGCCCTGCCTCCATCTGATATTTGCACAGGCCCCCCCCAAGGTGTCTGCCACGGGTTTGTATCCCTCTGGGGATGCACACACAGCCAAACAGGCACTTTCACTGTTCTAGCATCCTCCCGCTACCCTGTTGCAATAAGCAGAGTTGATTGTCAACTTCAGCCAAATAAGCAAGCATAAATGCCAGTAAAAGAAAACATTGCATACATCCCTCATCTGGAAATTAATTTTGTTTGTATTTATGTTCCCACATGTTGTCAGGGTGATCTCTGGGCTCAAGCCCACACGTGGAAAAATCTGGACTGTGCCCTGTACTAGCAAACTCACTAGCTCGGAGGCAAAACTGTTCGCTCCTCCTTGCCTCACACAAAACAGACTTGTGTGCTTGCCTTTGTGGTTCAGAGCACAGCTTCTTTTATCCAGAGAAGAGAAAAATAAAGAATCAAAAACAGGTTTATTTTTACACTTGGACACTGGAGCAGGAGGAAGCCCTCTCTTTTGTGCCAAGAGAAGAAAAAGAAGAACAGGTCCAGAAAGGAGCATGATCCCCTGAGTCACGATTTGTGGACAAATCTAGGCTCAGCCACCTAGACTGAACCAGGAATCTATTCTACATCCCTCTGAGCAGAACCAAACAAAAACAGAACATTAAGCTCAAACACCTCAGCTGGGGAACAACCCAACTTCCTGCCAGCCTAGCAAGATTCAACATTACCTGGGCTTAAACAACAGCAAACAGGTTTTAGCCTCAAGCCTCTTTCACCCCTGAATGGACCTCATTTCCTCAAAAAAACCCAAAAGGTTCAACCATGTCAACCACAGCCTCCCCAGTACAGTACCTGCTGAAGGCTCATTCCTCAAAGCATCTCACTACACAGGCCAGCTGCTCCTTGCTGTAGTCTCCCTCCTTGATCTCTCCCTAAAAGACTCTGCATCCAAACTACCTTCCTGGCCTGCCATAAGCACCCCATCACCATCCCATCCACCTACCTGAGTGCCTGGGAGCACTGGGAGCCTGGAGATGCCCTCAGCTGAGACCTGTGATTAGACCCAGACCTTGGTGAGGCTCCCCAGTCCCCTCCCAGATCAGCCCAGCAAGCAAAGTCATTAGCCCTGAGAGGGAAGGCTGCAAAGTGTGGTAGAGAATGACTGAGAATATGACCTTGCAGATCTAAACATCTTCTCTCTGGTAGAGTTCATCTCTTTTCTCTCTTGATGGTCACTACCACATTGCACCAGAAATATGATTCTGTTGTTGCTCCGTCCACTTGAAGGCCCTACTTCTCTTCAGTGTTGCACTGAAGTATGAAAATGGCCTTGAGATGGTCTTCAGGGAGTGTATGTGCTGATGCCAGGCAAGGGGAACGGCAAAAGACTTTTATCAGTGGTTGTATTTAGAGGTGGCAGCCATGGGACTCTGAGATGGATATTTTCCTAAGACAAGCAGAAAACAGTGGACATTATCCCATGAAAGTGTCTATGAACATGAAAGAAGTCTGTTCTAGTGAGTTGTTCATGCTTTGGTCATAAAAATCACATTTCTAGGGTTGCTGAAAAGGGAAGAAAAAGCTAACTTCAAAGAGAATTGCTGAGGTTTGAACAAAATCATGTAATTCTTGACATTCACATTTGAAAAAAAAAGCAGAATAAAAACATTTTATCAAAACTGAGAAAATCTGAAATCAATCTGACTGAAAAGTTTTGACTGGCGGATTACCTTGAACTAAAAGGAAAGAGGAGTTGCCAACAGCAGAGACAATTGGATTCGTACCCCACTGTCCTAGGTCTCCTCTATTAACATAGTCTTAGATATGGCCTTATTAGGGGCCTTCAAGGACAGACTTAGAGAAGATTCCACTCCCCATTTTCTCTGCATAGCTGTGTGACCACAACAAGTCCCCAAACAGCATTTCTTCACATAAATAAATCCCCCAGCTGGCTGCCATGTTTTGCACTAGAAACTTTGTTTGTCTTTATCATTAGCTCATCCATGGAGTCTTTCTGGTAAAGTCATGACATCCTCAGTTCACAAGAGGAGCCTCAGAGGAAAGGAAATGAGGAAGAATGAGCATCACTTCAAAACACCTGCCACTGGCAGGTGCAGGTGTTGCACAGCTGCAGTGAGAGACCAATGAACCAGAACAGCCAGCATCCCCAGTGACTGACTGCCTGCCACTACAGCAGCAATTCTGCTGTCTCTCTTGCTCCCTTGCTCTCTCACGTCTTCTGGTGAATGCTTTCAATTTTTTTTTTTAATGAAAAGGGTTCTTTTTTTTTTTCTCAGCAGCCCCAAATGTGCTTTACTAGTCCTGTGCATCTGGTTAGATTGCCAGCTGACTCAGACTGTTAGCTCTGCAAATATACTGCAAAGAGACTCTACTTGCAAAGCTTCTCTATGGCTTACACATACCTACTTAGTCATTATAAGGTAGGTTGAAACCTCTCTCTACACAGCACATCACTCTAGCTAGTGACTAGTTATTTGTTGATCCAATAAACTCCCTTGAAAGTAATAATTAGAACTTATCACAACAAAGAGTAGAGTTTATTAATTACCACAGAAATTATCTAGTTCCAGAAGGTTGAATAAAAGATCAGGATAAACAGCAGAGATTACATTCGACTAGTTCTTCTGTACTAACTTTCAAAACTGACAGTCTTATGCAATCTAAAATGTTTGTGTTAATAGATAACAGCTAGTGCATCAGCAGCAGGTCATTTTCTTTAAAACAAACGTGTTTGAGAAGAGTAAGCAGAAAGTATCAAAGTTATGGAGGAAAGACTGTAGGTAGATGTGTAGGAAGGTACTGCAAGGTGCAAGTTGGATTTTAGTGCAAAAAAACCTCTGAGGGTGCTCATCAGCCTCCTTTCTGTCACACCAAAAGGGTGACATATTCAACAGCATGGAAGTGCTTTATGGGGTGATAAAGGCAAGAGAAAACATTGATCTGAACTTCTTGCTAGTTACTGTGGGAGTCAACGTGTCCCCCCAGAAGATGATGAAAATGAACCCATCTTGCAGAGGTAACTGAGGCCCATTGCAAGGACTCAAAAAGTCACAAGCAGATGCAGCCAAGTTGTTCCCCTACTGCTCCCCAGGTCCTGCAGCAGCCTCAAGGGCCACAGAACACCTGCACCACCATCACTCCTGCTACATCAACAAAATGAACACATTTGTCATTCCTTCCACTTGACCTCATGTAGGTCTTAAGCCTATCCAGAAGCTGAAAAGCATCCCCACTTCTTCCCCAGTGTGCATCTATACATCGGTGTGTACACGTCTCAAAATCACACCAAATGATTAAGCTGTGATTATCACCTGAGTCTGAGGAGGAACTGGCTTGCTCTACATCTTTGCCACACGCTCCCTAAGTACTATTGGTCAAATAATTTAAATCCCTTTTCTGACTTTGCACAGCGAAGGTGACAACTACTCTTCAGGGGACTGGAAAGGCTTAACTCCCCACTGGGAATTATGTTCTGCTCCTCATCTGGAAGATGCTAGAGAGCTGCCAAATACTATTATTAATTTAGAACAGCTAATTTGTTTCAATGAGATTAGCATGAAAATGCAGGAGCAAAGCTAGGTAGGTGGCTCCAGCTCTCCCTGGATTCATGGTCCTCCACCCACCCACCAGGGATCAGTCACAGGGAATCAGGTAACTTGCACAAAGTCATCAGGACCAATTCTAATTTGCTAATTACTCCTTTAGGCATGACAGAGATTGATTCGCATTAAACTTTCATGGGTATCACTGATCTCATGCACAAGCCTGGATTATCAACCAGGCAGTGCCAGTGGTATTGAGTGAAGGTTGGGTGCTCAGGCAGCCAGGCAGTGCTTGAGAAGGGCTGTTGAGAGTTTTGGTGCCAAAGAAAATCCACACTCTCTTGAAGAAAAATGTCTTACTAATGTGTGTTTATTTATCAGTTGTTGGAATACCAATATCCTGTGAGGAGACTAAAGGTCCCAAGTGACAGGTAAATGAACACCCTCCAGTTGTGCCATTAATTCCGAGGGAACAAGTGGGAGAGTTTTCCAGCAAACTTGTCAGCTGTAACTAACTTGATTTTCTGAGTGAGGACAGATTGCTAATCACCCTGTGCTCCCCTCTCAGCCAAAGTGGACCTTCCTCGGCAGCATCTGCCACTTCCAGAAGTGGAGAGCCCATACCAGAGGTCATTGCCTCATCAGCCAAGGCAGAGAGGCCTCATTAGAACAAGAGGCTTCCCACATCAGCCCTGTCCCTGGACAGCCACATAAGTTTCTCAGTTCCATGGTGTCACAGTGTCCCAGTCAGACCCAAGAACCAGCACAGGGGAGCCAAGGTCCAGCACAGGCAGGGGTCCATGAGACCACTTGCTGCAGCACTGCCACTGTCAGCACAGCCCGGGTGTTTTTCCAGCTGTGCTGGCTGCAGGATCACTGCTCTGACATGGCAAAATTTCCAAACCCTTTGCCCTCCCTGAGGCATTATCTGCCACTAGAGACAGACGATCTGAATGAATCTAGCTCCAGCCAACTCTCTGAGGTCCAGAACATGTTGTCCATGGAAAAACAACACACACTAGAGAAACAAAAAGTGAGAGACTACCTGGCTGCCGTTTATAGACTTCTCAGAAAAAGTCAGCAGACAAGAGCCAAACTCGAACGTTCACGTCACTCCTTCACTTATGGAAGGTGAGTTTGCTAAATGCCTGGATGCTTTTCAGCCTTACAGCCCAATTCCTGTATTTGCAACCATAATGTTGGAACAAGTAGCAGGGCTTAAACTGGTGCCCACTGGACTCAATAGGAAAGGCAGACGCCAGAAGCTTTTTTAGATACATAACAGTGATTCTTCATACCTCTCTTTCTGTGGGCTACTGGACTCCACCCTCAGTCACATGCAAAACAATTCATGGATAGATTTTTCCATTAAATACCTCAGACTGCCTATTGAGGTTCCTGGTCCCTGGTTCATGTGGATAAATAAAATTTCTGCTTTGGGAAGTGCTAAGCATCCCCTGAGTCCAATCCAAGAATCAGCTACAGATTCAGGAGAAAAGCAGAATCATACAAGGAAGGGACCTGAGGGACTGACAGCAAGCCCTCCCAAACCCTTCTCTTTGTGACTGCCAGCTGTCCAAGGCACAACCCTCTGACTATTATTCACTAAATCCCCTGACGTAAAGCTGCTGTTGCCCCAGAGCAGCACACACGAGCTGCTCTGATGCTGGATGCTGGCTCAGACCTTCCTCCTGGGCAACAAGCAGAGCCCTTCCTGCAAAAAGAGCCCATCACTCTCTTTTTACTGGAAAAGACAGAACAGTGCTTGCTATGCCATAACTTGCTCCTATTTCTGTTTTCCTTCCTCTGCTCCCTTACAGAAAACTACAGACCACATTCACCTCAATTTTCTCTCCTTTTCAGGATGGTTATGAATCCAACATGAGCAGGGGATGGGTTACCAGATGTGCACCAGTGTGAGCAGCAGGAGAGCTGGCTTTCCCAGGAATAACTTGCCATTCACGTATTTCACTTCCATTTTACCTCACACCTTGGCAGGCTGCACTGGGCAGAGATGCAAACACTGTCCTCTTCTCATGATGGCCAGACCCTTGTCAGACATTGCTCTAAACTGTAGAATGTTTGAATAGAAATTTGGGGCTCAATGAGATGCTAGACAAGGCATACACACTCCGTAGGGCAGAATGGCTGAGCTGATGAAAGCTCTCTGCAATGGACGTCTCCAAGAGCTAAGAGATTCCCCTAGTCTTATCTCTTTAGGAGATCAAATACTTACATGAGCTTTGAGTCAGCCTAACCACAAAATTATCATAAAAGTGATATTCGCATAGAGAACATGGCAAGAGATGATGGATGTGCTCCAGCTCCAGCTGGAGGAAGACCTGCACTAAGCTGGCAGGGCAAATCAAAGCTTAGACCTGTGAAACACTGAGCACTGCAGAGCTACAAACTTAATGATATGGATCATTTCACCCGAAGAGTCATTAAGTTCCATCCCTCAACTTGTATGCAAGCAAACATGAGAAGTTAAGGCTAGAAGATTCTTCACAATATCTATTTTTCACACACCACACACCTTCAAACACCTCCCCCCCCCCCCCCCACCCCTTCCCCCCCCCCCCCAAAAAAAAGCAAGAACAAAACACAAATGTCCCAGAAGGAATGAGCAAGGAAAGCCAAGGACCTGTTGGGATTTGCAGTCCCTGCCTTAGCTGGGAATTTTTTCCCCCGGATAAGCCATGGCAGTCACTGCCTCTGGCTTGTAAGGAAGCCAGTGGGAGCTTAGCACAACTCATTCTTTAAGAGCAATGTCTCTGCATAACAAGCAAGCAAAGTACAGCAGTCGCTGAACCGAGTGAATAACGGGTTTCATAGGTGCTGTCAAAAGGGGAGAAGGAAAATCCCAGCTGGCTCCAAACAGCTTTCTATGTGTGTTGGCAAGTCCTTGGTATTTCTCCCAGACTGGAAGGGCAAGTCCAAGCCAAGAGCCCAAGTACAGCACATCCAGACTTACATAACCCAAGGGGCCCAGGGTAATCATTAACACTGGATTATTGCCACTGGCTTTGTGCTGGAGTCACCTGGTTGTTTGGATTAAATGTATAGTGGCCGTTTAGACAAGGAGAAGGCTCATGGCACAAGCAATTAAGTGAAAACAACCCCCAGGGAGGGTGGGAAGCAGAAGACTGTTGGAAACATTGCAGGGTCTAAACTCAAGCACTCCTCCGGGGAGCCAGGTTTGCTACCTTTCATCACACCACCCTGCTCAATGGGGTAGTTTGTTTTCCATAGGGGTGCAGCTCCCTGCCCTCCCCCCAAAACTGCCAGGGAAAAAAGCCCCCACGTAACACAGGTCAGGGGAGCAGGACTCTTCTTAGGGAGTTGTACCTTGATGACTGCCATGTGCTGCACACCAGCAGGTGAGCTCTCATTCCTCTCTCCTTGGCATGCTTTCCAAAAGCAGACATTATCAGTATCTGCTGATAATGCTGATAAAGCCTGACTTTATCTATGCCCCATCTTTGCCTTTCTTTGCTTATCTGATGTCTCACGTGTCCTATTACTCTTTGCCCTCTGTAACCCCTTGTGTGTTATTGACATGTTGTTTGCGCCACTGTCTGGGGCAAAGGAGGTTTGGGACTTCTTGGTTCTGCTCCCATTTCCACTTTGTGTTGGCCTATGGTCTTGGACACATCGCTCCACTGCACTGTGTTTAGCCACGGGTCACAGAAGTCAGGTTACCTCACAGAACATCCCTTTACTCATATTCCTGATGCTTAGTCCTTACCTCAAGTACAACCATCCCAATTGACAGCTCCTTACCTCTCATAACTACCACTTCACCACTAGCTCTGATGAAGGACTATAAGCCTTTTAAAAACAGAGAGTTCTTGCAAGTGTTAGGAATCAGATCACAATCGTTTTGCAAAGGCTGTAACACTGCACGTGTCCATTCACACCTCAGAAATGAAACTATAACGGCTTGAAGTCAATGAGACATAGGCTTATGTATAACTACACCATGCTGTGCTTTGTCATGCAGAGTTGCTGAAGCAGGGACATCATAAACTTTTCTACAGTTGTGGTATCAAAGCACTTAAATATATATTTATCTTCAGGTGGATAAACTCAGGCTTAAGGCAAGGCCACATTTTTCTCATGAATTGGCAAAGCCCAGGCAGGCTAGTAATTTCACATAAAACAAACACTGAAATCTCTTTCGGAAATTTCTACTTTTTTTGTGACAAATCTCTAAAAATGTCATTAATTTCATGCAGAACTAATTCTCCTTTCACAGCAAACACAGCCCTACTCTTTTCAGCAAAACACTGTGACTTATACATAAGCTTACATTTCCTTACAGGTATTAACTAGAAAAACCCACACAATCTACACTCAAAAACCATACTTAAAACAGAAAAGAGAAAAAAAAATAAAGAAAGAATAAGGATTTCATGGAAAATATTCCAGGCTGAAACATAAACTTAGATCTTAGATTTCTGCCCTGCTGTGCTCCAACAGCAGGGATTTTGCATTACTCCACTTCAGCTTCAAGTATTGCCTCTTGCAGAAAAATAACAGCTTCTGCCCCGAGTGTCTTGCAGGGTGAATTGCCCAACTTTACAGCAATATCAGAACTCCAGGTGAGATGGGGAGGAGACTGAGATGCTGGTTAAAATAAAGCAGCTGGTTTACTGCATGAAGTGGGTAGGGTGAGAACAGAAGGGAATCGCAGATCCTCTTGGTGCAGGCTTGCTAATTAAAATGAGTACATGACTAGCCCTTAAAACAGCTGTGCTTAGCACTCTGGTCTTCAGGCTACACCTCAGAAGGTAACAACAACCTGGAGTGCACAGAACTTAGTTTGCCTCATCCCTCAGTCCTCTTGCCAGACTGATAGGGATTCTCTGGGAAAAATAATCAGGGGTCTGGAGAGCCCTGGCTCATCAGCTGGCACTTTTTGGTGTCTGTTCTTCAGGGAGACACTTAAATCCCTCAATGCCTGTTAGTCTCAGAGTGATTCTTGCTGGGAGAAGATCTGGACCCACTGCACCATTGCTCCCATGGAGACTCAGAAGTGACTTTAACACCAGTAATGTTGCTGGTTTCTTCTTCCAGTGGAGGCCAAGCAACCAAAAGCACAGTGCAAGAGATGTCCCAGCTTGCAGATCACCAGAGCATCATGTTCATGCCCCTGTTGTTACAAATGGGAAGCAATGGCTGTTGCAGAACAGGGCGTCTTCTCCTCAGGCCTGAGGCAAGCTTCGTACCACAGATCCTTCACATCACTCTTTTAGGCGTGGGTTTACAGAAGAGCCAACTGAAGCGCCTTGGCACCAAGACCTCCGTCATGCCAAGCCTTTCTTTACTAATCTAATCCTGTGACTACTGGTCTTACTCCTGCTTCTTCCATCCAAGGATCATACAAATGCAAATTAAGTCCCACAGTATCACTGTGATGCATTATTATCCCCATTTTACAAGAAAGGGAACTGCAGCACACGGCAGTCGAGTCCTTTGTCTTGGCTCGCACAGTGAATCACAGTCACAGTGTGAAGCAGACTTTGAAGCCCTTCCTCCTTCACACTAACCACTAAAGTTTGAATTCCTTCAACACCTGCTTGCTCTAATCCATTAACCACAGTTTTACTGCATCTGCAGACCTGTTCCACAGCAGTCAGGAGCCAAGGAAGGCATTTGGGTCCCAGCGTGGCTGCCAGGCGAGGCGTGAGGGCTCCGGCGAAGAGAGCGCTGAAACATCTCGCGCCTCCCAAGAACTTTCTGAGATGAGAAAAACTAAAGATAACTTCAGATCTCTTCCATCATCTCCCTGTTAAAAAGCACCTGAAAAGTTACATCCAGGTGAATCAAAATTTGAAGTGCTATTGTCTTGATTACAGAGCTGGCTACAAAGGAAATTAACGAATAATAATTTCAAGGAGGAATTTAAAATTTCCATTTTCATTTTATTGTCAAAGTAAATATATTTTTATGAAGAACAAAAGAAAATATACAGAATTGTAACTTATGTACACTGGCTTTATAGGTATTTTTGTTTCCAATTTACACAAATTTGATACGTTATTAAAAGATATTTTATATAGATATGCATCTATGTACAGTTTTATTTACATACATTCATAGGATGTGATATAAACCAGTCAATAGATGATAGTTCATTTATATTAATTTCTAGAGGACAAAAGGAATGCATTCACTTCAGCTAGACCTGCTGCTCTCGCACAGCGCGGGCTCCTGCTCTGCCTAGCGCTAGGATCGCACTTTCCTATTTCCCATTTTGCCAACAAAAAGGACAAACAGATGCTGTCTGCGAATGGAAAGGAAATGCAACATCCATTATAAAATCATTTCTAATTACTGAATTCTATTTTCTTCTAAAGCTTCTTACAATTGCCAGAGTTGAAAAGAAAAAAACAAAACAAGAAGAAACAAGAACAAGATCATTTGCCTGCTACCATCTGATTATTTGTTTAAATTCCCTTCTTAGCCAGCTATCACACAAATTTGTTTCTTTTGGCTACTGTTCTCACCCATTCGCCCACCCCAGCTGCATGGAGCTCTGACATGGCTGTCAGGAAGGAGGGGATTAGCACTGAAGATCACCCCTAGACCCTGATCTCACAGTGCTGTCCCACCAGGCCATGATGCCTCCCATCCTCCCTGGGCACAGGCACATCCTACAGACCCTGCCTGCCAGCAGGCAAATGGAGACTTAGCTCCAACCAGCGAGGCCTTGATTCATGGTGGCTGCGGGGATGCTTGGTGCTCGTCAGGACCACCAGGCACCTCCGAGGCTGGGGCCCTGGTTTCTCCCCCACAATCACACAAGAGGATGGGAGCAGAGATAGGACCAGAGCTCGGACGCTCTCAGAAATGTCTTCCTGCTGCCTTACATGCAGACAACAGCTCTTCTGCTAAAGACAACAGATGCTGCAAACCAGACTCAAAGGAAAGCAGTGTGTCCTTCGACACCTGGGCATCCTTTCACCCCATGGCAGCACAGGACAGAAGCAAGCACACAGTACTGAAAGGCTCCACTCCAAGCCATTTCGCCCAGCCTGAGCTTCCCAGTTTGCCTGGGATGTGCCTTTGCTTAAATATATATATATATACGTATGTATGAATATATATACATAAATATTTATATATAGCCCTAGCCAAGGGAAAGGTAAATGTGAGCTGGGGAAATTGGAGCTGCATAGAGATGTGCATGAAGGCACATTCCAGTGCTCTCAAGCCTTCTCTCCCCCTGTCCCCAACTCCCACTATTCCTCCTCCTATGGCCAGCCCCTACAAATCCTTGGCTCAGGCGACCCAAAAACAAAGGAGTTGTTTTCATTTCAAAAGGAATTTGCTGTTTCCAAACTGGACAAATAGAGCAGCTTAATAAAAACTCACAATGAATGGCCTGTACATGAGCAAAGCCCTCAGGAATGCCAGGGCTATAATTAACTAGCAGCAAGCAACTTTTACATTTTCCTGTGCAGCAGAAAACAGCTAAAAATAAAACACTGTAATTTCCAAAAGAAGCAGCAGTAAAGGAGGGACAGATAGAAGGAAAGAAAAATAATATCCTTGAAAGAAAAAAAAAAAAAAAAGAAAGAAGCACCCCGCTCCCCTGACCCAAAAGGAACTTCATTCTCAAATCATCTTTGAAGGAACACAGGGCACTCAAACATGGTGGTATAAAGTAACAGCATTAACTGTTCTGTGGAGACAAATAAATTATCACTAGAAATACAGTGAGCAAAGTGCTGTCATCGGCTGTTGTAAGATGGCTGGGTGGGAAGGGGAAAGCGGGAACAATCAGTTCACGGAGCGGACGGAGCGGTTGCTTCGTGGGAATCGATGCACCTTGACATGTTTGGACAAGTGGTCACTTCTAGCAAACTTCTTCTCACAGACAGGACACTGATAGGGTTTCACCCCCGAGTGGGAGCGCCTGTGCCGGGACAGCTCATCTGACCTGGAGAACCTGCAAGAGAAGAGAAGCCTTTTCAGATAAATGGGGTTTTATTTTGCTAAGTCTCTCACAGCAGATAAAAAAAAGTCCTGTCGGGCCACTGGGAGACTCCACAAACTGAAAGGGACACAAAGCAGGGCTGGTTTGGTCTCAACCATCAGTCAGCAGCAGTGATGGAAACACACAACTATCAACCTCATGCCATGTCAGCTCTGGACTCAGAGCATGGAGGCAACGTTTGTACCAACCTTGCCCTAGACCCAATAACATGGGTACAGCTCCACAAAAAGAGCACTGCTCTTGATCCCTCTGCCAGTCTTCCTCAAAGCTTCTCCCACAACCTCTCTCCTGCAAATCCAAGCACGGACTCCTCTTAAGCAGAGACAACAACCACCGTCTTTTAGGAGAAATCTGCTTTCAAGCTCCCACTGACACGAGCACAATGGATACCCACTAATTGCACCTAGTTTGAGAGGGACTCCAGATATAGCTAGCCAGCCATAGCTACCCAAAGCAATATGACGACTTAGATTCAGCTGAAAAATTGTCTTCTGTACATGTTCCTGCAAACTAAATAGAGAGTCATTAACATCCCAGTAACAAAAACACTCAACATTGTAACAGCTGAAGTTCAGGTGGGCCCCAATAGCCATTAGCATAGTTACTGTACGGGTAAATTGAAATCAAGGTTGAACCTTTAATTACCAAAAGCTTCTTCCATAGTCTTTTGAATTTTAGATATTTCCCACCTTCTGTCTCCATAGAAAAATCCCCAAATAGCCACTGTGAATCCACAGGCTTTACTGAACTCAAATCAGCTAATCCTCTCGTCTTAACAGCAAGGCTGGCTATATTCTGAGTTTGGACATGACTGGGAGACAGAGGGTTAATTAACAATGTCACACTAAAACAACCCTGTCCAGATGGGTACAAAAAATTTTCTGCCTGACAAAGGGCAATTAAGTGTTTTGTTGCCAGAACAGTAACAAAGAGAGGCACAGAAAGAGAGCTTGCAAGAAATGGTATCAGCTGTTTATTTACAATAAATAAATGAAGTCATGGGCACTAGCTGAACAAATGAGGGAAAGAACATGTAAAAAAATGTGCCCTTCTGGCGCAAAATATCACATCACCAACAGAGCAAATACACTACTTTTATAAAAGGGGAAAAACAGGACCGTTGGGCTCCTATGAATAAGTCCTTCATGCAAGAAAAATAAGTTTCCACATAAAGGTTTTAATTAGCTCTGATCTCCTGCCACCAGTTGAGGAACAGGGCATAGGCAGTGGGAAAGCTGGTAATGGTTTCCTCAATTTCTGCAGCTCTTCAGTCTAGTCATGCTCCTCAGAGACCACTCAGCCAGTACAAAGCAGATGCAGATACTCGCCATGGGCCAGATATGGTGTGGACACATCTCTATGGGATTTCTATGGGGGCATTTCTACGAGAGAGTCTTTCATCCATTCACTTGCATTTCTTCCTTTCCTTGCTTTGGTATCCCCAAGGTGAAAGATTCAAATTCTCCATTAAGAACAACGAGCAGATGCCCTTACGGAGCTGTCAACCTGCTCCTTGTCTGGGATGAATTTTCTCCATAAAGGCTATGAGAGAGGTTTCTCTTCATCCCTCGTACTTGCACATTTCCTTTCTCTAGCACCTCTGCTCCTTTCAGCCATAGCTTCCCAAAACCACAGTCTGGACCTGGGAGCAGCAGGGTCAGGGATTTCTCCCAAGTCCTTAGCAGGGAACCAGTCCCAGTGCCACATCTTCACAGGGATGCTCTTGTAGAGCTACAGGTGAGTGGGTCTGGAAAGGGTAGGATGTTGCCTGTGCAGACTGCCTCAATAGGACTCAGTGCTGGACAAGGAACAGCACTGTTGCCAGTGGTCGTTACCAAATCCAGGGAAAAGAGGGAGCAGAGAGGAAAAAGTGCCTTTGCAAAGAGCTGTCCTTTTAAACACAGACTCCAAAGGAGTAAAACCAGATGTGGCCAGGTTGCCTTGTCCTGTGTCCTTGGCCATTAAGGTCATCACCTGCAACAGATGTGCAGCAGCACCTGGCTAATCCTGCACAAGAGCTTCACAAGTGCATTTCGAGGGGAATTGTATGGATGGTGTCAGAGAAAGAGGCGCATGCCAGGAACGAGCTCGGATGAGTTCATCTGATAAAAATACACTCTGCCTCATAACGATGTCCTTAGCTGAAGAGGCAGGAATGTTGCAACACTGTTCCCCAGCAGTGACGGAAAGATCAACTTACAGAGCCCACAGAAATAAACCTCGAGCTGTCTGTGTGTTTACAAAAAAACAACGCAAAGGTTAGGACAAGGAAGCCAGGAGGATCTGGTGGCCTGGGTCTGCAGTGAAATATTTGCAGCACCTCCTGGCACTGAGATCAACCCAGGAAAAGTGCAAATAATCCCTTGTGGAATGCCAAATTCAACCAAAAAAGAGCAAGTCCCAAGGAACACCTCAACATTCTGTCACTTCCATTTCCAGACAGATTCCTCCTTCACAAGGAAGGTGGAGGGATCTGCACAATCCCACAGCAACTAAGAGTCTCCTTCATCCTTCTATCTGGTGGGATCCCAAAGGACCTGTAACTACATCTCCCTTGCAGACAAATCCTAGAGTTCCCTGATGTGTAGGATATGTCCTGTGTCTCCTGACCATACGAGGACATTGCTTTGTGGCTCACAGGGCAAGAAAAGTCAACAGCTTCAGCCTGGTACTCCGTGGTCCCTACCACGGCCACCAGCTGTTGAGGCCAACTCACACTGTGTCTCTCCCCTGTAGTGGAGGGGAGGCTCTAAATTCGTCCTGCCCATCCTGAAAGCTCTGCTAAAATAAACCAGCACACCTCCTGCACACCGGGAAACCCCTTGCACAGCACCACCAGCAAGAAAAGCCAATGCAAGACACATGCCCTACCCTACGTGTGGTACCTCCCACGCTGGCCCAGTCCCATGCACACTCCTGGCCACATGCATTACCAGCCTTTAAACCCTCCCTGCCAAACCAGGCAGAGCTTATATCCCACTCTGTCACCTGTGGAGCCTCCAGACAGAAGATGCAGTGGGGCAATTACCTAATCCTCCCTCCTTGCAACAACTGCAGCTTTGCACATGCTGCACCAGGGGGGAAAAGCAGGAATTCTGTGCCACAACACAGCTGCTGGGCCTGGCCCACGCTGCAGCTCAGGTCTTTGGCTGGGCCTTTCTGAGGAGCAGGGCTAACCAGAGGCTGGTGTGCCAAAGGTATAAGCTGGCACGACACGGATCAGTGCATCGACCGGGACAGCGGGGCATTGAACGCCACGGGTCACTGGCCACTTACACACAAACGCCTCTCTGCAGCCTGCCGAAAACAGCTCTTGCCCTGTGCCAAGGAAGGGCATAAGCAAGCAGAGTTTAGCCTCCTCCAAGGAGGTGCTATGGTTCTCCAGCTGTCCTAGGGGTTAGCAAAAGGGTTTGCTCTGTGCACACTCCTACCCTGGTGCATTTAAAGCATGCAACCCATCATAGCAGGGCTGCCCAGAGAGCTGGGGAACCTTTAACACCCCAGAGCTCAAGCACTTTGTGCTAGGCAACACTTTGTTTTGGTTTTGAAATTGCTATCTCCAGTGAGGTCAGATCTTAAGTGTTTTCAGTGAAAAAATAAATACACAAGCATGAGAATGTAGGGAAAGGAGGGGGAAAGCAGAGCCCAGCAGTGTTTTAGTGCTTAAATTCATTCGAGATTACATAAAACTGTGAGCAAACAGAGAGTCCAGATGCATTTGACTTAAGTCATGTGAGATCACAGCTCTCACTGAACTTCTGGAAAGGTAAACATGGTTTATTGATGAAAGGGGACTGAGTAATTCAATGCTCAATTGGGTCTGGCCTTTGATGTGGGAGCAGCGTGCAGGGGATGTGCAGCAATCTGAGGCTGGTGCTAGGTGAGCACAGGAGGCAGCTCCCTAAGCACAGCCTCTCCTGTTGGCTATAAACCTCTTCTCTTGGAGCAGAGCCCTTCGAAAGTTTGAGGGTTTGTGATCACATCCTGGGCTGTGAAATTCAACAAGACAAACAGCAACAGAGTTTGAAAAGCCTTTCCAGAAGTTGTTTCTTGTAACATGTTCCTCATAATGAAGGTAATTCCTTTGTCATTCCTGTTGGGGTCATCTTTAAAAAGTTGTGGTGGTTGGAAGTTCAGGGTGCTCCTGATTGCAGGACCTGCACTTCTCTTGGCCCACCAGTATCCTACTTTTGATCCACATCATTCACTGTAACAGTGGGAGAAGGGAGGCACCCATTGTAAATTGAATCATCCGTCACCACTTAATATTTTTCCTAAACATTCCCCTTGGTTTTGCAGCCTGGGGAACACCAGCTCTCTAATAACGTTGAGTTGGAGAAGGTCATCCACAGGCAACACTTCAGGCTCTGTATCTGGAGCCACAAAGTCACTGGGAGCATTGGTACAAATCTCAGCATGGATCAGACAAACCCTCACGTGCCACATGCAATTGTCACAAAAAGCGGAGTTTTGGTTACATCCCAGCACAAGGAAAGCCAACATGACCTGCTGCCTGTGTGCTTGTACTCTGGCACCCAAACCAAAAGGAGTGAGTGCCTCTCCTGCAGGTGAGGAGAAACCAGCCTGCAGCTTCTGGGACCGACCCACTGAACATCACGGCTTTGATGTCAGGGCATCCTGAGCAGCAAGGCACTGAGCCGGCTCATGAGAAGTGCCACCAGGATAAAAGGAAAGAAAATCACCACCAGTTTGTAGAGCCACCATAAACTGATCTCCTCAGTCCTTCCAAAAGGCAAACTTCAGACTGGCCCAGTGGGGAATCAGAAGTTTCAGCTCCATTCTGACCTTTTCCCTCAAACCAACCCAGCCATCTCTAACTGCTACGTCTCATGTACTTGCATTTTTACACAACGCTCTTCTGTTACTTTTTACCTGATCTGTTGCCCATGATCACAACCCATTTCCTCGTTAGACATTGTTCACTGTAGCTCTGCAGCATATTCTTTGAAAGAAATTCAGTTTAATTTAATACAAGGTAGTTAAGATTATGTTTTCTCCCATCGTCATTTGTGGTGCTGTGTATTAACACTTGCCAACAGGCAAGTAATACAGCTAATTGGAAAGAGGGAGGAAGACTCCCATCAAAGTTTCCTTAAAATAAAAAGTTGATATTTTTAACAAAGATTCAATTTTTCAGCTAGTATTAAAAATAAAATTAAATGAAATGAAATAAATAAATAAAGAGATGCCCTCTTGCTCAATCAAACCTGCAATCTTTCATTCAAGCAATGCTTAACTCCACCTCAGCCTTCTGGTTATGTTGTTACATCTGACAGCTTTTTGCAACTTTGAGTGGCACCCACGCATTCTTCTGAATCAAGGCAGAGAATAAAACCCCGAGTATGCCAGAGTGTCACTGCCAGCATTTCCAGAAGGAGTGGGATGGAGTGCATTTTCTATGAAAGTGCACAGAATACTGCTTTTAACCACACTTGCTTATCACAGTCCTTCACTGACCATATTTAGTCCCACGCAGTTGGAGCCACACACGGCCACGCACAGCGATTCTGCCCTAAACCACCCAGTTCACTCACAGCCTCAGCTGGTACCAGCCACAGGTCTGCTGTGGCTGGTGTGCTGCAACCAGACTGATGCAAACACAAGGTATTACCTATGGTAACAAGCTTAATCTGACCCTCTAGAATGAAGTACAAATTACAATGCTACTCCTTCTATTTTTTTAAGACACTCAAACAGCTGCTGCCAGCAGGTGATGCTCTGCTATTTAATTTATCAAAGCCCTTGGATCACCTAACAGAAAGAAAAAAGTCTTCATTCTCAAACCAACCAAACAAGTTTTGGGAACAGAAACAGTTTGTAAATCAGAGTACAAACCTAGTTGCTCAGCAAGTTAGGTCAAGTGAGCAGAAAGGGGAAGGGGGATTGGACAGAGCTGCACCCCAATACTAACCTCCATCCACAGCCCGGCCACGTGCACGCAAAGGGCTTTTCTCCTGTATGTCTCCTCAGGTGGGCTTTCAAATGGCTGCTTTTTGTGTACATCTTGGTACAACCAGGAAAAGAACATTTGTGCATTTTAATGAGTTCAGCTGCAGGGTTCTTTTGAAATTTCTGACCCATGATGATTCCCGTCTGACCCTGGATCATGCCTCCTGGCCCAATTGGCTTGGCAGCAATGGGGACGGGAGCAATGCGGACAAATTTAGAGGACAAGTTCAAATTGGACGACTGAACTATCTGAGGCACAAGGGCAAATGTCTGTCCTTGGATGTTGACTAGGAGCTGTGCAATTTTAATATTTTCCTGTGCTGGTCCTTGGGAACTGGGGCTCGTGTTGGACTCCTGTTTGATCTGTACAGGCTGAATTTGGAGCATAACCGGTATCCCATTCTCAAGGGTCATTCCTCCATTTGAAGCTTGGCCACCTTCCGTTGTGCTGCTCAACTGTTCATTTTTACTCTCTTTTAAACTAGTGCTGGGTAACATATGGTCTTTTTGCTGTAGCGAAGCAACAGAAACTTGGCTGCAGGCTCTCAAGTCCTTGGTCTCACTTTTAGGTCTTTCTTTGAGCTCCAAGTCCATGTTCTCCTCCAAAAATTCCTCAATTTCCTCAAGCGTGGGCTGAAATGGTCCTGAGTCTTCCATATCCACAGCAAATTCAGGCAACCTAAAGTACTCCTCTTTTACTGTTGGCTGAAGTCTCCTTTTGTCCCACCATGATGTATTGGTGTTCCCCAAAGATGCCTGGGACAATAAGTAGTCTAAGATACTGTCCTGACTTTCTGCACTGGACGTGCTTCCATAGCTGGAGCTGAGGACCTGGGAATCAGGGCTGGAACAAGAACAAAAGCTGGACGAGTCACTGTCATCTTCTGACAGGGGAGAGGGCAACATTTGGTAGGACCTCACTCCCGCTGTCATGTCCCCAAAGTATCCAAGAGAAGATCTTGTAGATGAAAAGGATTCATCAGTAGGCAGCAAGTGATCCACCATTCCTGGGCGATCTCTTAAGGGTATCCCAACAGCATATACCAGGCAGCCAAAGTTCAGGTGAGAGCCTGAGCATACGAAAACAAAACAGCAACAATCAGAAGTTGGTTTAATTATTTATCTCCATGAACTAAAGCTTGGAAAGCCCTCTAGCCCACAGGAAAGTCCAGAGCAGCAGCCTCACTGAGTACACATGCTGCTACATGCTTTGATACGTCTGTACCAGCCCCAAGGACTGTCAGGGCCGAAGCGTTTTGCAGAATTGCACCACATATTTGCAAAAGAATTCTTTCAGAAATCATTTCCCAACTGTGTGTGCTCTAGATTTACATCTCCGTTCCAGAATATTACTGGCAAGAGAAAATAAATTATGAGCTTTTGCCTAACAGTGAAATCTAGAGCCAAAGAAGGGAATGGGGAGAAAAAAAATAAAGTGCTGAAATTTTTACCACCTAAAAAAAACCAAATAAAAAAGAAGTTTATTGCTGGTGACCATAAAATGCAAATCCTTTTCTTATCTTGTAGCTTTCCACCACCTTATTTTTAACTTCCTCAGTTCTACAAATACAGGCTGTTCAGCATAATGCAAGGATCAATCTGGCAGGAGCCAAAAATATTTACTGTGCTTCAGCATTTACTAGGCGGATTTTCCCCTCCAGATGTAATGAATCAGTGCGTCAACGTCATCATCACCTGCACTGTCCTTAATAAAGCTGGCACTGCACTGAGCTAATTACCATGTCCTGCAGGCCAGCTGGTGGCTGGTTTCACCTCGCTGCTCCATGCTCCTTTCTCTCCGGGTACGGAGGTTGATGTGAGCTGAACCTCGTTCCAGTTGCTAAACTGGGAGGGCTGTACGGACTGTACGGACCCCCGGCATCTCAACCTGCTGTGAGCCACGGTGGGCAGCTGCGATGCCAGTTTCCCCCTCCTCCGTATCGAGGCGGCGAGCGGAGCATCCCGCAATCCCGACTCACGTGAGCCGTTATCCCGCTACAACCCCACGGAGCCACAACAGCAAACTCACCCTCCCCAGCGCAGCCCACCACAATGCTTGCTGACGGCGGCGATTGTCCTGCGCTTTCCCGCTTAAGGCAAACAAACTTCCTAGAAAGGTTTCTGGGGAGGGAGAGGCAGGAGGGACATCTGCGTATTTTTTTCTTCCCCCCCCTCCTCCTCCCCGAGGAAAAAAAAAACTGCTTACGGATGGAGACTATGCCTCCTAGAGAGCAAAGGCAGAGACCTCCCGATGGAGCGAACACTGGCCCTCAGTCATTCGCTCAAGGTGACTGATTGAAAACAGAGCTGTACATGTGCATAATAAAACAACTCTTTCTGTGGAAGGTATGTGGACTGCAGAGATAGAAGTCATTTGATCAGCCTATGAGGTTTTGCGTGTGTGTGAATTAGGAGACATGTGACCCAGTGCGAAGGAAATGCCAGTCAATCTTGTTACACGCTGTCATTTTCCACAGGCTCTGCTGCTGCGCTTTGGACGCTTTGCCATGAATAGTCAATAGCTCCCAGTTTTGTGCAGGGAAGGGGATGGTTGTTACTGCTGTTGCAGAGCATCCTTGCTGCCTCATCTCCAAAACTTGCCCTGTCTTTCCTTCTCTGGAGAAAAAAATCAAAAGGTGTCTGTGTGCTCAGGGCTGCAGCAAATGCAAGGTGAGGTATTTTACACAACACCCCTAAAGAGCTCTGTCCCATTGGCAGCACCTATTAATATTTCACAGGAAACGGGGGGGAAGCACCCATATTTCTTAAAGATACTGCTTCCTCATTCAAACACACATGAAGGAAGCAGGGAAGGGTTGAAAGAAAGGCTTAAAAGTAAGATTGCACATTTTCCTGGTATGCACGTCCTGTCAGTCAGCTATACCTCGAACAGATAATGAAATACCCACATGTGCCTGACACGAGGAAGTTCAAACAGAGGTTAGTGGCTCTGTTTTGTGACCTTAGACTATAATCATTGCTTATAGTAAAAGTGAAGAGTCAGAAGAGCTGAACTATTTCTAACACACTTTTTTTTTTTTTTAAACTCTCTGCATTGATGGAAAGTTTCCCCAGCAGAAGTCCCAGAGCTGAGCTATTCCAGTTTTGAAACAGAAAACACAATCTGCTTCTGACAAGTTTGTATTGGCATCCAGTAAGAATTCACCCAAGCAGATTGTTTCTATCTTGCACCAAAAACTGGTGACTGTCTTGTGAAACTTGGGGCAGAAAGAAGGACTTGCCCTCAGATGGTTTCTGATTCTTCCTTCTATGTCTGCATTGTTTCAGCTTAAACTTCTGAAGAATGGGGCTGTGAGAGAAAACTGGACTGCCATGTGTGTTTTTCTAAGAAAAGTTGGCTTGCTCTACACGCACCAAAAGCAGTTGGCAAAGTTCTTTTTAAAAAACAAATAATAAAATGCCTGCAAAACTAGAAAGCAGCATATCAAAATATCCATATATTTCACTGGGAATAGAACTAAACTGTAACTTGAATAAGGGCTTAAACGAGGGGAAAATTAAAACCAACAAACCCCTAGCAACTGCTGTGGGCCAGTTATCACAGCAGAAAACAGCCAGCACGCTTGTTTCTCATCTCCTTTGACAAGGAACATTGTTACTCAGTGTAACCAGAGTCTTTTTAAGAGGGGACTGTCAGAGGCAAATAGATTCAGGCGCATTAAGGTCCAGTTCTGCTTTCTGTGCACTCTCAAAGCTTGCAGAACAGCCAAGAAGATTTTGGGGAATGCCTGGAATGCAGAATCAGGCCCTGGCTATATTTTTCTCCTAAAGGCCAGGCTAACAACTAAAAGGCTTTCATCCCTACTTTGCCTGAAGACTCAGCCAAAACCAGAAGATTAGAAAACAAAACCAAAAAAAGCCAGGGCTGTGAAAGCTATGAAAACTAATGATGCTGTTTCCATAAAGCACTTTCATCTCTAGGAGCCCTGAAAACATGTTAGAAATGTAAGCACCTATAGTGAGACCGCAGTGCCTGAGCCACTGAAAACAGCCACTTCTGGAGTGAAATACAGCAGCTGTTCAGCAGCACAACCGTCTCCAATTTTTAAGAGTTCCCTGGGTTGTTATGATGTCCTTTCTGCCAGAAACATGTTGTTCTGTTTAAAACCTGTCCATCTAATCGCCGGCTAAAAAAAAATAATGACAAAACAAACCAAACCAGAGAAGGCATATTTTGATGCAGAGCAACAATAAAATGCTAAGTCCTGGGAACTTGCTGAAACATAGGGACATATTTCCCAGTCTGTCATTTCTGGACAGTCAGCCCAGCACAACTCATCACACAGCATATATGAGATGCTGACAGTCATTTCCTATGTATACTGCCACAGCTTTTTCTGGTTTAGGACTAATCTCTTCAGTGTTTTCTCTTGTTCCCTAGAAGGTTTTAAATCTGTTCAGGCTGACTCCTGCTCCACAGAGCATGCCATAAACCAGGCAGTAAACCGGGCCCAGCATTTCTAAGAAATTAAAATAGAAATGCATGGGGGGGAAAAACTAATAAAAAAAAATTATAAAAAGAAGCCACAAGCCAGGAGTAAACCTATTTGCTCTCCTCTCTTCTGTGAAGTGGCTGTGTTGCTCCATGGACACAGGGGGGTGTTTAGAGTCTCCTTGTTTGTTTTTTCCAAACCCATCACTTATGGAAAGCTGCAGAAACGTTCCCAAAGCTTTTTCTTCTGAAAACTGTCCCACTCCAGCCCCAAACTTTGGTTTCCACAACAGGAAGCACTTCATCTGCAATGTCCTCCCCACGGAGTGCACTCCGCTGCCTCCTGCACCCCAGCAGGGAAGGGTGCCCCAAATAACGCGTGGCACCAGCTGCCTGGGCAGGGAAAGGGGGGCCGGGGGACACACACATTCCTATCCCAGCACAAGCACAGCCAGGTTTCCACGCCTGCAAAGCATCTGTTTATTTGGGTTTTTAATTGTGGTTTTCTGTTTTGTTTGGGGGGGTGTTAATTATTATTTATTTTATTGGTTTTCCCTCCATCCCTTTTCAGGAAGCTTTGGGGACCCGAGCTCCCCCTTTCTCCCCCGCCCCCGGCGCGGTCCCCTGGTCGCGATGACCGGGAGTAAACCCCTCTCTCCCCGCCTGTCACTCCACGGCACGGCACCGGTGCAGCCCCGAAACAGCCCCCCAGCCCTGGTCGCAGCCCGGCACCCTCCCGCTGCACCGCCGGGGGTGGAATTTAATCTCCCACCTGCCCCGTGAGCGGGCAGCAGCGGCACAAACATCCCGGCCGCTGGTGCGGTGCTGCGGCAGCGGGTGCGGGGACACCGCCGGAGGGGTCGCGGCCCCGCGCCCCCCCGCTCGCCCTTACCTGAACTCCTCTGCGAGCCGGGACGGGGGGGAGAGGCCAGGAACGACCAGAAGAATGCAAAAACAACAGCGAAAACGGGGGAAAGAAAAACAGAAACCAAACAACAAAGCCAAGCCACAAAAAAAATAAAATAATTTAAAAAAAAAGCAAAGATAATTATAGAAATAATAATGATAAAAAAATTTTAAAATAAACAAGGGGGAAAATCCCACGCACAACAAAAACGCAGAATTAAAAAAAAAAAAGCCAACAACAAAACAAAACAACAAAACAACACCAGAACACGATCCCGCAGAGGCAGGAGCGGCCCCGGCAGACGCGGAGCGGCGGGAGGCGGGCGCAGCTCCCCCGGGAGGCGGGTGCGCGGCTGCGGAGCGCGGCCCCGCTCCCGTAGTACTATATCCCCCTCACATGACGGGCGCCCGGCGGCGGCGGGGGAGGCCGGGGAGAGGCTCGACCGCGTCCGCCGCCACCATTGGCCCCGCGGCGGCGGGGGCCGGCCCGGCCCCGGCCTCAATGGGAGCCGCGGCACCGCCCGGCCCGGCCCCCGGGGCGGTGCTGGGCCGCCCAGAAGGGACCCCGGGGACGTGTGAATCCCGCAGGGGATGCGCGGTCCTGGGAGCGTTTAGCGAGGCCTGTAGCGATAGGACAAGGGGTAATGGTTTTTGAAGTAAAAGAGGGTCGATTTAGATTGGATATAATGAAGGATGCTTCACAATGAGGGCTATGGAACACTGGAACAGAGTGCTCGGAGAGGTGGCAGATGCCCCATCCCTGGGGACATTGCAGGTCAGGTTGGACAGGGCTCTGAGCAACTTGATCTGGTTGAAGATGTCACTACTCGCTGCACTAGATGGCCTTTAAAGATCTCTTCCAACCCAAACCATTCTATGATTCTGTAAGTGTACAAGCCTCTGGACATCTCCAGGAGATAAGCAAGTCCCTGGGGAGGTGCAAGTCCCTGGAGGAGTGCGAGGAGTCCCAGGCCCTTTCCCTGCTGCATGCCCTCACTCCTGCCCCACACCATCACATCTTCCCCTTTCTGCCTGCCGGAGCTTGACAGGGGGACTTCCAGCATAATAGAAAGTATCGGGGTTTGGGATGCGTTACCCTCCATACACCCCCACCATTGTTATTACAGTCATTACTAGTTTTTAATATAAATACATGTATTAATTTAGAGAGATATATACACACACACACACTATAGTTATGCAATATTTGGCATGGATCAGGATCATGTTCAACCCCTGCAGAGGCAAAGCCCACCTGAGGAAGCTCACAGTGGTGCCAGCTGCTGCAGAAGTCAGTGGTTTTTCAAATTCAGTTTTTTCTTTTTTCAAATCCTTGGGAAGGTGAAGTCCAGGATACCAGAACGTAGTCTTGTGACAACAGGTCTGTGCACCCTTTTCTGAGGACACATGGGACAGCACACCATTCCTACTGTCTCACTGTGGACCTCACTGTCCCACAAGGAAAATGAAGTATTATTTTCATTTTATGGTGAAACTGAGGCACAGAGGGTCAAAACAAATGCCTGTGGCAAACCAAGGTGCAGTCTCATCTCTCTTCAACTCCAGCTCAATTTAAACTGGCAAAAATATCCTCCATCTGCATTTCTTCCTAATTGCCAGTAACACATTCCACATCCTGACAAATGTAAACCACTCGCTTTCCATGATGGCATTCAGCCTCAAAAAGTCACTGCAACAGGGCCTGGCAACAGCACAGGGGTGACCCCACAGGTGTGGCCTCACTCCAAGGGAATAGCCAAAGGACCCAGGAATGCTGAGGGCTCTGCTTTCATGCACATACCTCTCTCTTCCTCTCCACGTTGTCTCAATGAATAATGCATGAATACACACTCATCACAATCCTAGATACTATATTTATACAAGTACATCAGGGCCAAATTCTGCATTAGTGTAACTCCACTGACGTAAAATGCATTACACTGGTAAAAATGTTGGCCTTAAATATTTTTACCCAAAATAGATGTTTGGCAAACCTTGCTTTACTGCTTTCTCTCAGTTAAAAACCCCTTGTTCCCTGAGTATGTGAAGTTTAGCTTTGCAATGCCTAGAACATAAGATTTAGATACAGCTAAAATCCAAGCTCAAGACTGGGCTTAAATGGAATTTGAATTGTTGGCTGTACAGATATGAAATTCCCTTACCATAAAAATAACCAAAAGTTGCAATCTTGATTTTATCATTATTATAACCTAATTAGGCATTGGGACATATTAGAGGTTTCTCTAACTTATGTTTTTCCACTTGCAAAAGACAATGTCTTTGTATTTTAGTTACAGTAGTTCCCAACTTCCTCTGAATTGCTGGAGAGGTACTGAAGTTCCATATTTACTTTATGTGGAAATAAAAGGGTATGTGTCCCAGTTCTGCTTTTCAAATTTCATCCATTTTACTGGGCCCACAAGCTTTTTGCTTCTCTAAAAGCACTGCTCAAGTCTGGGTCCATTGCCCACTGTGCAGCTGTAAGGCTGTACTGTTGGCTGTTGTTGAAGCTAGAGATACAAAGGTGAGATGTTTTCTGTGGGATCAAGCAGATCCAAACACGTGCTGCTGCTGGAGAACATGCTCAGCCACCTTCCCTTGTGCCAGCACCTGCCCTTGTGTGGCTGCGCCCTGAGATGGAGGGGGGATCTCATGCTTTTTCACATCTGAAGAACCCTACAGAGCATCTTATCCTTTCAATATAAGGCAACAGTGACCACTGCGAGGTGAAATGCAATGGAAAATATCAGGAAAGTGTAACTAAGGAGACTGTGTTTCTCCCTGAGATTTCCTAGGGGGAAAAATAAAGAAAAAGTATTAACAATGCAGGCAGGCAGCACACAACACCTGGGAAGTGAGTCCAGAGCATGCAGGAGGAAGCCCTGGCCTGAGCTCACTCACACACCATGTGACAAGTTCTGGATGTACTGAATTTTTTACATATATCCAGGTCCCCTTTGCCATGCACACAAAATCCATGGGAAACTTCAGCACAGCCCTCGAGTGTAGGTTCAGTGACTGTGCCTTAGGCATTCCTGGGTGTCCAGCACTTTGTGGAAAATGCTGCCCTGACCAGGATATTGGGCATCAGTACACCCTGGACAA